ATCATCATGGCTTCAGCCAACCCCTGTGATGCAAGTATTGATAAAATGGAAAAAAATCTGACATTAATTCCTAAAACTGCAGTCACTGGTTTGTGTTTCAAATTTGATTATGTCAGGTAATGCATCACTACCATTATTCATTCATATGAAATATAGGAATAAGATTATTAAGCCTGAATAAATGAATGAATGGAGTTAGGGAAGAAGAAACACGAAGAATTTAAGATTTAGGTACATATTAGGTACATTAAGTCCTTTTCTCTCTCTTTCATTTTCTCCTGTTGTGGGAGAAAAGAATTGTAACTAATACAATTGTAATTGTAATAATAATTGTAACCTCAACCTGACAGATCAACTTACGTTTCTCTTAAAACAGGAAGCTTTTTTTTAAATGGCACCATGGTATTGGTGTAAATCTGATATATAGTAATCAACAACTGCATGCAGAATAAATTGTAGGGATAGTTGCAAACTCAAGTWAGGAAAACACAGATTTAAGACTACCCAGCATCACTTCATGCATGCACACTGTGCAAACCTGTTTTATTCAATGGGCAATATTTCACAATTTCTTTTTAGAATAATTTTTCAGTCTATGATTCTGAGCTTGTTTGGTTTTTTGTTTTTTTGGTTTTGTTTTTTTTTTTTTAATGTACACACAAGAGTTCTTGTCTTTTCTATGTTTTTCATTGCTGAGGTAACTAACAGTTGCACAAACATTGAGCTAAGTCTACAAACATATTTGTGTTTAAAACTACAGGCATAAAGGTTTGCAAATGTTGTATTTACCCCTCTGTGTCTGCCCCCTAAAAACATTAAGATTTACTGAACTAGTGTTTGTAAGGCTCAGGGAACAAATGAATTTACAGAAAGAAATAGAAAGTTTCAACCTGACCTTGCTGGGAGCTGGACTAGAACTTTCATGAAGTAAAACATTTGCAGAGGACCAGGTAGTACTTTATTATGATTTATTAAATGTCAGTTTATRTGAGTTTTATCGAATATGAGATTAGAGCAGTAGTTATTATATGACAGCACAGTATTCTGTGATTTACTCATGAACTTCTTTCTTCATCTGCAAATACCCTGCAGAGCTGAGGGGAAAACATGGCATCAGCTAAACCAAAGAAATGGAAATGAGAAGAAACATGTTTAAATCTGGACTGAAATCTGGGCACTGGAGAGCTTTATCATGMTCATCTCCTAACCAGTGTTATTGATCTCTCTTAGGGCTGGACTCAGGCTATGAATATGACCTACAAAAGTGGCAAAGATTTTAAACTTTATTATACTGGCTTGGAATTCAGTCTTCACTGGAACAGAAAGGGCAATTATTCAGGGGATATGTGTAAGTCAAAGCAAAAGAAAGGGAACAGGAAGAAAGTGCTAGCAGCCATAGGAGAACACTGGAAAAGAAAACACAGATGGAAAGATCCAAAACACTTCACTGTTCAGTTGGGAAAATGTGGGCTCAGCACTTGGGAAGCTGAGGATAATGGCACACGAACATGTGAGGGATGATACAATTCCCAWCTCTCACAGATACTAGTAAGAATTTCTAGCACAGAGGCTACATTAAAAATTATCATAATTACATTATTTTTAAATTTCTATTCTATTGAAATTTACGGACAAAGAACTTGATGCAAAGGCCACTGGAGGCATCAGGTCTCTACATTTACTTCCACATCCATCCAATAAAGTAAAAACTGGAGTCCTATCTTAAAAGCTTTTGATGGCCGGGCCCAGAGTATATGAGAGACTCCGCTCTGGGATGAAGATCACAGCTGATAACTGTGCATTACTGAGCTTTTTTAGGAAGGGTCATCCTGTCTGCCTGGGCAAAGTTCCTTTGCACAGAATGAAATAAGACTGTGGAATACTCTCCCACAAGAACTAAAGGTAGTGCAAAACTTTTACTATTTGCTTAAGCACAAGGTATGTTACTCTGACCTTGTTTTCCTGTATATAAACCCACTGCACGTTTCCCTGTGAGTCTGTGCATTTGTGTTGGAGAACATCCTGCAAGCTTTTTTTTCCTGGTAACAAACTGACAAAAGACTTGGTCACTGTTGCTGGGATCTATATATTCATTGCAACTCTTGCAAAAAGTAAGACAGAAAGGAATTCTACAATGCCAAAGAGAAACCAAAGAGAAGTTTTGTCTTTATTTGACATSTCTTAGAAAGACAGACCAAGAGAGCCAGGGTTATTTGGCCTGGAAAAGGGAAGGCTCTGGGGAGACCTTATAAGACTTTCACTACCTAAAAAAAGGTTAGAAGAATTAGGAGAGGGACTTTTCACAAGGACCTGTACTGATAGGACAAAGGATAGTGGCTTCAAACTGACACAGGATAGGTTTAGATGAGATTTTAGGAAGAAATTCTTGGCTGTGAGGGTGCTGAGACATTGGAACAGGTTCCTCAGGGAAGCTGCGAATCCCTCATCCCTGGGAGTGTCCAAGACCAGGCTGGATGGGACTGAGAGCCTGYTCTGGGGKAAGGTGTCCCTGCCCATGGCAGGGGCTCACAACTAGATGATGTTTAAGATCCCTTACAACCCAAACCATTCTATCATTCTATGATTTTGCTGCTGCYATTTTTTCAACGAGAAAAACATAGTAACTGCTTCAACTGAGCTGTATCCCAGTATTGTTGATATTTAAACTTTCAGCCAAAAAAAAAATTAACATATTTAAAATCTTAGGAAAAAAAAAGCTAGGCTTGCAAATTCCTTCATCATCCTTTTTACACTTCTGGGATATTTTGTTTTTTTTTTTTTTTTTCCAAATATTGGCCCTGGCACATCCACAGTTCAAAGTTTTGTGCCTCATTAGCTACGGTTTCACTAGCCAAGGCTTAACTACAGAGCTGCAGACACAGARTGCCAGTTTGTGCCTCCACTGCTCTTCAGACACTGTTCATAATGATAAACTGGGATGCAACTGCTGCTTTGTCTGGTTTGGAAAGATCTTGTAGGCTGGTTATATCCCCAGCATTGTTCAGACCACAATTTCAATACAGAAAACATTCAGACCAGAGTGATGGCAGACAATGACAGTCATTTGAAATGAGGTTTGGCAACAAATTTCCTGACAAATGCTCTGGGATAATGCTTGCRGAGAGAAGTGTGCTCTCGGAGATGTGACTTGTTAATTCAGGCTGAGGGAAGAAGATTCAGAGCCGTCATTTATTGGAACCTATTACAGGACTTAATCTGAAGATTTTGACATACTTSCAAGACAAATAGGCTACCATGAGTGAGACACGTTCAATAAGGTGTGTGCTGTAGGAAATGAGGGCTGTAATTGCCATGCTGAGAGAGCTTGTTGTCTATGCAATTTAATGACCTTCTCCTAGCAGTGTCCCTTCTGACACAACGTGATTCAGAGATGAATCATGCCAAGCACATGGGGAGTGTCTTTATCATCACACAGCAGACTTGACCAAATGGTTACTGCTTATTGTCRGCAGACACCGTAGGATTTGAGTCCCACAGAGTAAAACATTAGAAATTGCATTCCTGTAATGCTTGGGCTTCTTCACTAAACATCATAGGGGTGTTCATAGTTTAATTCTTACTCTGCAAATCACAACACTGGCCCAAGTTTTTCAGCACAAGTTTTCTCTTTGCTGTGACAGTGAGTTAGACTGAGATTTGCCCCAGATAGCTCCACTCAGCAGTACAGATTATGACAGAAACAAGAATCAAATCCTATTTGTTCTTAGCCAGCAGTTAACCAAGACACATTTACTTAGTCTTTATAATCTTTTTTGTGAAAGTTTCTTCAGCCATGTAAGAATTTCTGCCACCATTTTCTGACCTCCAACTTCTAATTTTCCCACCTGATACTGAGGTAGAAAAATAAATTTCCTACTTGGCTGCAATCCACATCATTGAGGAAAAAATGTGGAATGACAGAAGTACAAAGACATAGGTCACTTATTGTGCAGGGTTGTGACAACAAAAGAAATATTGACAAAAATACAGGGCATAGAAATTAAACAGCCTTTTTAAGATTTTAAAACCTGTAARATACTGGACTGCACTGCATGTAGCATTTTCCTCTTTTTACCAGCTATACTAAAATCTACAGATGTACTTGACAATGTCCATGGTTATTTCTAGTGCACTACCTTGGGGCTCGAAGAAATCTGGAGATTTTGGTTCCCAGCACATTTTATTGCTACAAGAACAGCAGTTCTTGATACGTAATTTTTGTTTGYTTYGTTWAGAGTGCTTCTGAGTAAGAAGCTGACTAAGATTTGCTTCTTTTGCAGTTCTGGTGTTCTAGGTGGTGCTGTTTTCAGGATGTTCTTACAGATCCATCAATTTGAGTAATTCCATGTAGTGTTACAACCYGGCCTTAAAATCTATGTGTCTGTCYACCKGTTGTGAAGYGTCAGAAAATTCGTGTGACTAAGATTTCTCTCACCTAAGTTAYGAGAAATGCTGTTTCCCTACACACSGTGCAYAGTCTGAGATRGTTACACGAAGAGAAAGGGATTTCAGCACATCAACAGGAGTTTGCAAATATTTCCGGCCTCTCCTTTTGGTCCTTACAGCAATATTTGAAAGCTTGGCTAAGTTTTCTGGGGGACGCCGGCACTGTGGGGGAGCCTTCGAACTCCTCTTCCCTCCAGCACCCGAAATAAACACAACGCTCATTTATTTTAATCATTGCCGTGCCCATGCACAGCAGCTCCCCAGAGTGGAAGCCAACAACCCAGGCTGAGCTTTGCTGGTTTTGAGCTCTTCCCAGAGCACTTTCCACTCTCGGCTGAGCGCGGCCTTCCCGGCACACGGAGACCCGGCAAGCCGCGATCGGGACCTGCGTGTGGGTGACCCTGGAACAGCCGAAACCTCTGCCCACGGAGCGGCAGCGAGAGCCTGTGGGCAGGAGGGGCGGGGGCAGCCCTGTTTGCTTTATTTACGGGCCCGTTTGCTTTATTTACGGGCCCCTTTTAGCCCTGTTTGCTTTATTTACGGGCCCCTTTTTGCCCGCCCCGGAAGCCCCGCCCGCCCGCCCGGAACCTTTGTGGCCGGAACGCAGGTTGGCGGCGCGGGGCCGGGCCGGAGCACGGTACTGGACGGACCGCGGGGAAGATGGCGGCGGCCGTGGCGGGCCCACGTGGGCGCGGTGCCGCGGACACAGACACGGACACGGACAGCGGTAACGGGAGCGGGGACGGGGGGGGGCCTTCTCTTCTTCTGAAGCTTCTCCGGCCGCCGCTGTGAGCCATCKCTGACTTTGGAGGCCTTTCCTCTCTGCCCCGTCCGGGCCCGCCGGGGGGTCCGTGGCCCCTCATCCCCCCGCTCTGGCCCCTGGGCCGAGGGCTGGCACCGCTCGGTGCGGGGGACGGGAGCTCAGGCCCCMGTCCGGCCACCTGCTGAAGCCCCTTCCCAGCGGCGTGTCCCGTGGATGGCAYTCCCGCGGTGCCTGGTGCTGTGACTGCTCCTGCCCGCCTTGCGCTGTCACTTTGGGCTTTTATTATTCAGTCCGAGGGTACCGACAGCAACTCCTTAATTTCCCAGGCCCACCAAAATAGCTTTCGCTGCTGAAAGAGCAGGTGGGAGCGACTGTGCAGCGCTGCGCGACTTCCCYGTCTGTGCGAGACCGGGATCTCTTTTTTTCTTGGAAGGAAACCCTTGGGACACGCTCGTCACAGTGATGCACCCTTAACGCACAGTTCTCCACTCGTTCTCGCCTTCTTGCGTGTTGTGACGGTGTACCCAACTAGTTGTGATTACTTCTTAACTATATCCTGTGGTTGGATCTTTTTTTTTTTCTTTATTCTGGGAGGAATCAAGGTTTTGGCCGTTTGGAGCTGCAGCTCTGGTTTGGTTTGAGCGTCGAAACTGAACCCGAGGAGAAGCGTTGTGTGGGAGTTTCTTTCAGCGCTCATTGCTGAATGTTTGCTKTGTTTTAACTGTATGTCTGCACCTTGATCACTGAGCAACCTTAAAACTGCAGAGATGTGTATGTGCCCTTCACATCGACACACACATGCACATATATTTCTTACATATTTCTTATATTAAATCTATGCCAGACATCAGTCTTCTCGATTCAGAAGAGAGCCCCAGGTCCTACTTCTGGTGGAGTTACTCTAGTTTAAATTACTTTGAAATACCCCAGCTTTATTTCATGTGGTTGACTTATACTCTGATATATTATAGAGTATATATATTATATGGCAGTGGAAACCTTGTTAATCTTCCTGTTGTTGTTGAAAGCAAAATGTCGTTGTTGTGCTACTTTATGGCAGAAAATGTTATGTAAAGGAAATGATACATGTTTTTGCAAATTTTCTTTTTATAAGTCTGATCTCTTTTTAATGACTAACTGCAAAAGTTGGTCTTAAGAAGTGTGGGGGATTCAGGCTTGGTCTTTGGGTAGTTGTTAGCTTTTGTGTGTGTAAAAGTCAAGCAGGGGTTGATTCCTTAAAAGCTAAATAGCAATACCCTAGCATGGACAAGGCCTAGGGGTGAAAACTTGACATTGTTTTACATGTAGGAACCAGGATGTGGTTATGCACTTACTTCTTCACAAGCAATAGTTTGAATTTATTTTAAAAAAAACTCAGGATATGGAGACAGGCTGATATAGACAAGGATGAAAAGGATGCCTTTAAGTAATTACTGAATGTGTTGAGAAAACTTGCCACTTCTAAATTTCAATTTATAGTAAGAACTCTTCTAAAAGAAACTCTCATAACTTATGTTGAGTGGAGGATGACACAACACTGTATTTGCCTTGGTGGTAGTAAWAGTCCTACTGATACAGATAACAACCAAGCATTCAGTAATTCTTTCTCTCCCACATTTGTTTTGTAAACGTAGACTCGAACTTCTTTCCATCATCATAACTTAATATGCTCCCCAAGCCTCTAAACATGCCTGGGCATTAGAGGCTTGTTCTTAAATTGGTCAGGGCCAGTGTTTTGCTGCTATGTTGTGTGTTAGGTTTTTTTTTCTGGTTTAAACAGGYACATGGAGAAGGCAGAATAATTAATTAGTCTGGCAACAGAGTGTATGTTTATGTTTGCTAAGTAATTAAATAGTTGATTAATGGGGAATATCATTAATAGCTGCCTCCATGGTTTTATGGAGAACAGATCTGATCACTTCATTCTCTTAGTGGTTTGGTTGATAAAGGCAGTTCATGGGGTATAGGAATGCTTTGAAAGTAAAGCRCTTGGCTCAGTAGTACTGTGATTTTAAATCTGACTTTTGTTTTTTAAGTAGCRTGAGAGTGGTAGATGGATGAAAGTGAATCAGCTAGTGCGGAATTGGTCCCTTGCTGGTGGGACTGGCTGGGGTCAGAAACCAGCCTTCTTCTGTCCAGCACTTGATTTTGCAGCCTTGAAAGTTGTAAATAAGATAATTAATTTAAAATTTCATGTGGCACAAATATTAGTGGAATAGTAGTTAATGGTAGCGAGACCTGTTTATGCTYTGCTCTTGATTACTTGATGAAATGGGTGCACTGAAATAGCCAAACATTTTAGCACACGCTGAACCTACAGCCCGTTTCATTCTAGTTAATCATCTGCACTGTTAAAGACTTCTATTTTTGCAGTTTGACTCACTGAACAGAGTAGTGAGGACTGATTCTTTTTGTGTTTGTTGTGCCATCAGTTTGGCACATCTTGATGTTGCTTAATTCCAAACTTTAGTATTGTAACTTCATTTCCTTTTTTTTTTTTAATTTTGAAGGGCTCATAGGGACAAGGAAACTTGACTTTGGGGGTGTTTGTGTAACTTGAGCAGTTACTTATGCCAGAAAAGCCAGTGCCTCTGGTTTCTTTTGAGCTGCCTGATGACTGTCTTGGTTCTGTATTTCACAAAGCAGTCTCCCCTGGGTTCATTATGCTTAGGTAATTGTGTTTTTGCTGGCAGTGTTCTCTCTGAGCAGCTTTTGCTTTCATGTAAGCAATGCCCCCCAGCTCCAGTTTAATCCCTGTGGCTGTTTTCACTCAAACACCAGATGTCACTGTTGCAGTTTTTCTGTGTGTACATGCACACATATATACATACATATTCGTGTATATGGGCATTTTTAAGTGTTGTGGGTTTAAACCCGTTTTTTTCCCAGCCAATGTACCAAAAATGTCGTAGTTTGAACTTGTCCGGAAGCCAAAAAGCACCCAAAACGTTCCCTCCCTCCCCACCAGAGAGGCAGAAGGGAGAGCAAAAGCCCAATTAACACTAAAATTTATGGCTTTTAGATAACATAACATAATTGAGAGAAAGATACCTATATGCTCCAGAAATGGTCAGACAGGCTGAATAACTTAAGTTGCAAAATAGATTTATTACTAAAAAATTACTAAGAATAATACCGCACCGGGGAGGGGAACAGAGATAGAGAAAATTTACAAGGAGAAGAAATAAAAACAGACATTTTAAGACACCTGTTATTCTTTCTGGGAACCTGTCTCTCCCAAGTCACCCCTCCAAACCCATCCATGCCTTCCCAGCGCAAGGAGGGCAGGCATGAAAGTTTGAAGATAGATCAAACTACTCATTATGGTTATCATCCAGCACCATAGGAAAATAGTCCTTACAGCTCCAAGCTGTGGAAGCTCTTCTTTTAAGAAACAGTCAGTGTATAMCTGCTGATGGCATGGGATTCTTTTTCTTTACCTTGTGGGAAGAAAGGAAAACAGTCCTCCAAGGCCGACTGCGTTACTTTGGCGGCGCAAGGCCACTGTCCCAAATCTCCTGGCAGAACACAACTTCTTCTAAGCATCAACTCACTTCAAATGTGAGAGGGGGCCAAGCCTCTTCTGCCTTTTTGGCTTATGATCAGTTCAGTCATCCAAGGCCAGGTTTTTTATCTTGGGTGCAGGGCCTCTCTTTTCTGTACAGGTCTCCCATTGAAGAAATAGTCCTTTCGAGAACAGCTTGCTTTCTCCATGTTCGAGCACCACAGCAACAGCAACAGCACCTGTCTTCTTCTTACTGTGATCTTGGGTCTCCATTTTTTCTTACATCTCCTCACCCTCCTCCTCTGTCCTCCCGCAGTACATGATACTAACAACCTAAAACTAAATGGCGGCTGTAAACTATCTTGTTTTGAATTCTTAAGTACAAGACCATACGTCATCACAGAGGTGTAACTATCCTGTGCAATTGGCCCAGGCCTGACCAGGAGCCTGTCCATCAACCTCAGAGCCACAATGGATTGGTTCCAAAACACAGGGGGCAGGGCTCCTTTTGCTGGAGAAGAAGGAGAAAACTTCTAGAACTTTGTCACAAGAGCCATCTTTGTTGTTTTCTTGGTTCCCATCCCCCCACCACCAAAAAAACGGACCGAGTAAAACTAGGACAATAAGTTACACTTTTTAAACTGGAAAATTGAGGGGGTTCCCCTCCCCCCGCACCAGTTACCAGCCCTAAACATGAAAATATTCAATAATCTAATAATAAATATCCAAAGCTGTGTGCTGCCTTTTCAGCCTCTTTCAATCACTTTAAATCATCACTGAGATAAGCAAAAACTGGCACAGCATATTTTCTAATAAATTCATTATCATGGTGTGTCCTACTTGAGTTAATTGAACAGAGCATGTACAGCAAAACATGGCTCTGAACTCAGATAACATTTACATGTGGCACTAGTGAACAATTCTTACTAGAAACAATTCCTGATACTTTTTTTTTTTTTGCTTTTCTTTTTCTTTTTTATCCCTAGGTTCTGAGTTAAGCTCAGACCTTCCTGAGCACAGCTACTCTTCGGATGGTGAAGCCCTGGATGGTGATGATGAAGATGAAACAGCAGCCCCTGGCAACACGGCTGAAGAGGCAACAAGCTCCAAAGATGGCCCAAGTTCAGGCTGGGCAGATGCCATGGCAAAAGTGCTCAACAAAAAGATTCCACAGAATAAATCCACCATCTTGGCCAAGAATAAAAGCCTGGAGAAGGAGAGAGAAAGRAAAAAACAAGAAAGGGAGGAAAAGAGGATGAGGGTAAGAAAAAGATGCAGTATTCCATGYGCAGTGACTGTCAGATGGGCTACATGCAAGATAGTCTCAGAACACTCTCCCAAACCTTTCTGCTGAGGCTATCTCAGCTTTGGAATCTCTCCTTCACAGTGATCTTGAGTAGCTTAATTTTTTGTACTTTCCAGTCATGCTGTGTAGGGTTTTTTCCCTTACTGCTTCTTCTGGGTCATCAGGCAGGCTGAACTTTGGCAGCAGGACTGTTCCAATSTGTCAGCTTAAGGTGTTTTCCTTGTTGAGAGGGTGAAAGCAGCTGCTTTAAGGTTGGTTTTCTAATTGCTGTTGTTAATTTGGGRTGGAATTCACTTTGTTGGCATTACAAATTGAAATAATTCTCTACCATAGAAAGTGAGAGGGAGAAAGAGAAGAAAACTGCTTTTATTTAAACTATGCGGCAACTTCTCAAAATCAAGGCCTTTAGGTTGGGATTGCAGTAATCACTGATGTGGTGGTGAACTGTTGTTTGYTCCCCTCATCATTTTACTGATGGGAGTTTTCTGTTATGGTGTCAGTGCCTTAAAGTGCTTCTGATTCTGAAACTGGTATGAAGAAAGCAAAACCATGTTGGCAAGTAAGTSATTTGTTTGTGCCTTTAGTGGAACTTTTAATTCCAGGCTCTGATTGATTTACCTTCAGGCTAGAAATACATTATTAGTTCTAATGTCTCATCCTACCAGTTCTGTTTCAGTGGGATAACCAGGTTATTCACCTGACAGTTTGGGACATGCTGTGGTTGGGCCATGGCTTGCCTTTTAAATACARTACAGCATCTGCTCAGTTATGGTTGTCCTAAATATCTGCTCTCATCCAATAAATATGTGAGAATACTGCAAAACAGAGATGGGCCACAGGTCCCCAAATTGAGTTGTTTACCTTAGAAAAACTTGAAAGCAGTTTGCCTTTCATTGATTTCTTGCTGATGACAGGTAGGATAGGACAATTCTTTTGATCAAAGGCCAAAACATGGTTATAAACTCAGAAATTCATAGTAGTCTGCCTGGAATTATAAAGATAAGGACTCTGAAATACCATTAGAGACTTCTTGCATAAAAGATTTAATGGAACATCACCAGACCTAAAACACTGTTAAATTGTGCAGAGGAAAAGAAAAAATGTCACAACTTTACTCCTGAAGGAAAGCTCATGAAATACAATGGTCTATTGTAGCAGAAGCAAAGCTGGTGGTACTGTGTCAGCTGGTAATGGAAAAGGGGATCAGTTTGGTTTTGAAATGGAGAGCTTCCAAAAAAAAAGACAAAARTCGGTATTGTGCACATGACTTCTTCTCTGGTGGACACTCAGTGCTYTTCCTGGTGTTTGAGTTCTGCCTGTTGCACTCTTTGCCATCCATCACTGTCCATCACAAAGCTATTCTGGGTTTAATTCTGCTGGGGGAAGTCAAATTTCCAAGGCTCAAAATGTGCCATGCCTGTCTTGATGGACTCAGGATTTTGTTATATACAAATTTCTCCGTGATCAGCTTGTGAAGTCTGGGATTTGAAGGCTGTCTTTGAATAATTTCCTTGCTCATGGCAGTCAGTGTGAAAGCTTTTTTTTTTTTTGTTACTGGAAGCAAATGACTCTGATATTTGACTGTGGCCCCTGATGTGTCAATGCAAGAGATTTGCTCAGACCTGTTGTCCGGCCCCATACTGTAGTTCCACTTACTCTCAACCAAACTGAACTTTGCAGATTTTTTTTTTCTTCTACATACTTTTTCAGAGTATGCTGCATTCTCAAATGTCCATGTTGTTTCACATAACAATATTTATAATGCAGCTCGATAAAAAGCGGGAATGGGAAATGATGTGCCGAGTGAAGCCAGATGTTGTCAAAGACCGAGAGAAAGAAAGAAATCTTCAGAGAATTGCCACAAGGTAAAAGTTTTCCTGAATGCTTTCCTTAAATATATGTATATCAAAAAGAGGAAGAAAAGGCCTGTGCAGGTAATCTGTTTCCAATCAGATTGAACTCTTAAGAAGTGTCTRGCAGGAGCCGAGAGATTTATAGACGAGTCTGCATTGTACAGTATCAAGTTCAACAAAAAATTTCAGAAGCTTTATGAAAGAGTAAAAATTTAGATGGGAATCTAATGTTTGCTTAACAGAAGTGCTTTGCTGGATCCCCTCATTTTGTTAATTTAATGCTTTAAAAATGCACAACAGTTGTTTCTACTGTTCTGGTGTTTTGCTTTTCTGCAGAGGATTYGCCAGATCCATGGCTGTGAAGTTGAGCTTCCTGTTCACATTGTGGTGTGTGGTGTCACAGAACTAGTTGAACACGTTGATGTGCTGCCTGCATCTGCCTCCTTACTCACTCCTCTGCCTTATCCCCTTACTTCTGCTGCCATTAAGAACTTGCCTGAGTAATTTAATAGCTGATTTTAGGACAAATAACRTGCTCCCAAGGATGAAACATGCTCAAGGATGAAACTGATCTCAGCACCACGTTACCATGCTCACTTCAGAGTCTGAATAATTATTTTTGGATTTGTTTGTTACTGGTTCCTAGCAGTAAGTCTGAAGGAGGAGTGAAAATTGAAAGTCTTTTATATTGTAGTAAATGTTACTTCTTAACCGAACTGAGATTCCAAGTAACCATTTTGGGGAGCTAGAAGTCATCCAACATCTGTACTGATTAGTTGTTTTGGTAGGGGGTTAATTTCTGTAAAAGTAACTTGAGTTAAAATATCAGCTTTGTTGTTTTTTTTTTCCTATCCCAGAGGTGTTGTGCAATTATTCAATGCTGTCAGGACACACCAGAAGAAAATGGATGAGGAGGTGAAGAAAGCTGGGAGCTCTGAGAGGAAGCGTGCTAAACTGATGTCTTCTGTTTCAAAGAGAGATTTCATTGATGTTCTAAGAAACATGGAAGGTGCTAAAGGAGGCAAGACTCCTGCTGGAAAGGCTGGAAAAAATAAACAGGTAGGGCTTCATCTGTGAGAAAAAAATGCATRCAAGGTACCTTCTCAGTATAATGATGCTGGTAATGTGCCTGCTCTTCATAACACCTGTGATCCAAATGGCTGGACTTCTGGAAGGGAACAAGTAGCTCCTAGCCTCTTTTCCCTGTCTTTTGACTAYCAAAATACAAAATGCTGGAAGCTTTTCTGGTAAGACATTGAGCCTTTTATGCAAATAACTTGGTTTAGCTGTGTGTTTAAAAACAGATTATGAAATACTGGATTTTATCTTGGATTTTGCACARGCATGGAACAAACTGCTAGATGATGGTGGGTTGTGACATTTGGAATTTGGCCAGTAATAGTTAGCTCCTTAAGATTGTTAAAAGACATGGAGGCTCATCATCTTAAATGGTGTATTATGCTGTACTACTTGTGTGTCCCCACGGTATGGTCATGTCAGACTTGCTTCTTTTGGGTAATTATGGTGTCTGAAACTGAAGGGATTTGCCATACAAAATGAATGCCACACCAGAAAGAAACAGACACATATTAAACCTTACACATAGGCTTTTCTTTCCCTGATCCTCTGTGTGTTTTGGGCTGGTGTGGCTTCCTTACTCTTGTGATGTTTTGGAAAGAAATACATTCCACTTTTTCCAATGTGTTTGAGACACAGTGTAGTTGGGCTTGTCAGTCCTTCATCAGTTCTTTCAGCTCACCAAGTAGCTCAGGGTTGAAAGCAAGTTGCTCAGACATATTCTTTCTTGTATTTCAGAAGCTGCACGTTTTTGAAGCTTATTTGTGTTCAAGTTTGAACTCTGTGCTTGGTAGTGGGTGGAATACTGCACTTGGCCCAGACACACTGCAGTTAACTAAATGCTTTTCTGTGCCAGGAAGAAATACTTTAATCAGTTGGGAGACAACAGTTTGTCATATGTTTTTTGTTTGTGTGCACTTGGGGAACATGCTGAAACACTGCCTGGCATGGAGTGCTCATACAATTTTCATGCAAGTGCAATATTAAAGTATTTTTTAAATTCTTTGGATAATGAGAACAATTTAGCTTGGTGCTGACACTTTAYTTCTCCTTAAATAATTCCAGCTTGCTGGTTTGGGTGGGGGGCATGTGCGTGTGTGGTTCTCCTTTTTGGCTTTGCTTGTTTGTGTTTCCTCCTTTGGAATAGCAGAATAACAGAACAATAGTAATGCCAACTACTATTGTAGTCAGCATTGAATCAATAGCTGAGCAAGAACTAGGACCTTTGTTTTGTGTCATTGTGGCAGGGCAGTTTTTTGATTAATAGGTCAGAAAACACAGATTGCAAATGTTTCTAGACCAGGAAAATAAAGGTTTTATTTTGGCAGCATCAGTAACGGCATATTTCCATTCAGGACCTCTGGAGATGCCTTAGATGCTGGCTGGTTAGTGCTTGGTTTGAGTGGTAGTATAGGTGCTACTTTCATATTGCTTGTGCACAAAAGCTAGGGTGGGGATCAGGGTTTTTGGTTGGATTTTTAATTGCATATMTGCCTAGGCAGACCACCCCTCTTCCTCTCTCCCTTGTTGCCTTTGCTTCAGTGGCTCTCCATTCAATACTCAACCAAACTCCTTTCCAAGCTGTTCTTAMTCTGCCTTATTTTCTCTTGAGAACRTATCTTACTCATTTAGCAGGCTCCCCTCYTGGTAGTTGATGATGCTTGAGGTTGAGGCCAAAATCTGCTCTTCAGTCTCCCTTCTCAGAATTACACAAATATTTAGCCACTGAACAGTTTCTGCTGGCCTCCACTGTCAAATCTCTGCTTCTTGGTTTTTGAGGGGGCATGTTGTTTCAGAGGGTAGGAAGCCTGGATGAGGCTTTTCAATAGTAAATTCCTTGCAGCAGGAGTTCAGATTCTTTGTGCCATCTGAAAGCTTTTGTTTGTTTGTTTTGTGGGTTTGTTTTTAGCAGTTGAGTGTATAGAGTGTATTTCATTTTTGAAAAAGAGAGAGGGGAGGAGAAATACACTTATTTATCTCAGCAAAAACAACGGAAGAGATGCCAATCCCAAACTCCAGGCACTCTGCCATCAATTAAAAGGCAGTCCAGAACAATAAAAACACTACCCCACCCACATAAAACAAGCAGTCAGCAGGAAAAATAGCAGAATAAAGTTTTACCAGTGAAAGCAAACATTTCTTGACTCTAGCCTTGCGCTGTGACATGAGACTTGATTGCATTTGTGAGAATGGGTGAATTTGTTTTCTTCCTCTGCAGGAGTTTTTGAATGCAGAATTTGCTCTGTATTTTTGAAAGTCTGGTGATTTCTTGTCAAGTGTCAAGGGTTGTTGAAGAAACCCCTTATAAAGTTCTGTTGTGATTGACTATTTAGCTAAGTATATTTATGTGTGAAAAAAAGAAATTAATTGCTCTGTAAAGGCCCATCTGCAGTAGGACAATTTCAAAGTAGCATGACCACTTTTTAAATTTTGTTCTCTTTCCATCAGCTTCATGCATTCCTGGGAAGGACAGGTAACCTGTGCCCCACTAGAACATTGTTTATAGTCTTGTTTACTTTTAGCCATTGGCCTAAATGTTACTTGGCATATATCTACCAACATAACTATGAGGGAAAAACTGGAAGGCTGTGAAAGTTTTCCTATGCCCTTCTTGTGAAACTGTAGCCCTTCTTGGAGTATTGTGTGCCCAGCTGGGAGTAATTACTTTTCTGAGCTGGAGCCAAAAGCTTTGCCTTTCATATCATTTGCTGTTTATCAAGGTATTTCTTAATCCTTGCTGAGCCAGCTGACTTGTGTAATATTTTTTCCTGTTTTTTTCCAAGTTACTGGGCATGATGCTTGCCTCTGGGTAAGATCATCTATTTTCTCTCCCTTCACCACCTTCTCTGAAGCCTTATGGGAGAAAAATGTATTAATTAAAAAAAATTAAGATCCCACTTGTTTGTCTTTGGATGGACTTTTTTTAAAGTTTTGGGTGAGTTTTTCTAGGAATCTTTTACTGATAGATATAGCTTTCAGTCTTGTTCAAGACAATCATTACCAGCTTTTCATTGCAGTATCTGTTGGTTCTATCTTCCAGTTTCCCACCTGTAAGACACTATGAGATTATTAAACTACAGATTTAGAAAGGGTACATATTGAAGATGCTGTTTTTTCAGGCCTGGAGGCTGAAGGAATTTTTATGTGTGTAGAAGAAATACAAAAGTGGGTTATGGCAGTAAAGGATTCCTTGCAGGAATCTTACCTTTTCTTTGTGTCCTTAGAAATTTCAGTGTGCTCTTAGGAAAGCACCTTTTCTTCCAGGGTTGAAGTCTCTGTTCTCTTAGAGTTGCACACACATGGTGGCTGATGTAGTGAACTATATCAAATCTTGAAATCTTAATTGGAAGAAAACAGGGAAATTCAGAGTTAGCATTCTCAGAGCAGCCTCTGCTCTCCTCCCTTGATGTGTGTCAGTGACAATTTCATCTTGACTTTTTACCTGTTAATTATTACGCTCCCTGTAAAACACTTTTTAGTGACACATAAACAGCTGGCGTGAAAGTTACAGATACTCTTTATGACCAGCATAACCTGCACTCATGAACCTTTCATTTTTAATTAGGCCTTTGCAGCATGATTTTGCTTCAACTTGTAAGTTTTCTTACACCAGATCTGTTGCAGAGCATTTCAGTGGTGGAAATAAGAGCAGGATTTCCTAGTCTGCTTCAGTAAGCATGATCCARATTCTGCAAGGTAATCTTTCTGTAAGCTAAGCTGACTGCATGACCTGGAGGTACAGTTTGCTTCCTGTGTTGTGGTGGCATCTGGAAAAAATTGGTATATTGGTCTCAAAATAGTACCTATTCTAAAATTATTTATTGATAGGAAGAAAGATGAGTTGAGAATTCAAGGGCTATTTTGTAGCAGCTATTGCTCATGTGGGACTTAAAGTCTTAAAATAACTTTTCCAGAGAAGTTTGTTTTACCTCAAGCATGTTTTATAAATGCTCCAAGTATTTGGTAAGTAATTTGTAAGCACAGTAATTAGAGTCAGGCTTACTATAGATTTTTCTTTTGTTCATAACACTTTAATTTTAAGCAGTAGTTGGAAGATTGTTCAAGGGCAGGAGGAATACTACATTTCCAACTTTGACTGCTGTTCTTGCTGGAATACAAGGACTGACTCGGGGGCTTTAATTTTCTAAGCTAAATGGGGGTATAAAATGAGCTTTCCAGTTTCAAAGTCAGATCAGTTCAAAAACAGAGTGACTGCCATCTTTTTCATGCAGCTTCATGAGTATTGGCTTTCAGCATGTTCTACTTTTTTTACACTGTTTCCCCAGTGTAGAAATGGGGAGGGTGGAAAAAATATATTATTTTCATTCATACACATGTTTGGAGTGACAGTAGTCTGACCAGTTGGCTTCAACTAGCATTAGGAAATTGTTTCTGAAGTACRGATGAAGACAGAGATGACTTCTGGAAATTTGGTAGGGTGTTTCAACATCTCTTTGAATCTTACAAGGAAACTTCCTTAGGTGATAATGGCATTGCAGAGTAGCAGAAATTTATTACTACAGCTGTTGTGTGCTGGTTTTACAGACCTAATTGAAGGAGTAACCAGGCACGCATGTATTCCACAAGATTTGAGAGGGCAGCCAAATATTAATTTAGTTCAGCTGTAGCCAGAGCAGATCTATTCTCCCAGTTTTAATAAATGTCTTCCCATCATATGCACWAAATCTTTTAATTTGCATTCCTTCGGATACTTCATTTGTATCTGTTTTTCCCAACTGTATGTACATTCTCTTGAAGGTCACCCTATATATATTTGGAGCTGATGCTTCTAATGAAGTTTCTTGGGTTTATACCAGAAGGTGGCTGACTACCTAATTATATGCTGTGTTCTTAGGGGTAAATGCAGTGCAGCCTGCCACCAGTTTGCTGTATCCTGTATTCTTTATGTTCTTTAAGGTAAAGGTTGTTCTGCAGTGTTAGAAGTTGTTTGATGGTGACAGTTTTACTTTAAATCTGTTTAG